ACATGTGCACAGCCCAGGACAGTCACCCATGGTACCATATGGTCTCCACGAAAGAGGACATCTGCACAGCCCAGAACAGTCACCCACAGAGAGCACAGTCCCCACAGAACTGGACACCTGCGTAGCCCAGGACAGTCACCTTCTGACCTTGTGGGTAAAAGTTTGCCAACCCTGGTCTGGAATACACAGGGCTTTTTCTTTTTTTTTAAAGGTAATTTAACTTACACCTCTATACACACAGCTAACATCAGGCGTAACAGCAGTCAGGGTGTTTCTCATACTGACATTATCCGTTCACATTAATCCAAGCCCAGAATCCCAGCACTTACAGCTCTTTAAGATTCTTCATCTTCACAAAGGCATCGAACTGGATCGATCTGATTGCATTCTCTCCAAGGTTTCTGAGGGGAAAAAGCACCCCTTTCACTTAGGAAAAGTGCCGATACATCCATGATCTGCCATCCCCTAAAGGCCACGTGTGCAAGCCAGGACACCAGACAGGGTTCAGGACAGCTGGTTTCCATGATGACCCACAGGTCTGGGGCTGATCCCAGGTTCCAACTCTGCTTTAAGTGTTTGTCTTCAGATAAGGTGACAAAAACAAGGAGTCGCTCTGGAACAAGCCCCCTTTCAGGTCAGCACCAATGCAAGGCTGAAGCCTGCCCAGCAAATTAACATGTTGCCACAAATGATGGTAATGCATCGACAAAAATGTGTTTCTAAGCACGAAAGTGTGTGGCAACGTGTTAAAAGGCCACGTTTTTTCCAAAGAATTAAGACCAAAGTTGATTTACAGAAAAAACAAACTTGAAGTGGGCACTAAGAGACAGCAGCCCCAGATGGCAGTAACTCAGGGGCCTTGGGTCTTCCTCTGGGTCTCTGATGGCCACGCCAAAATGCACCTGTCAGCCTAGTCTAGGGTGCCCTTGGCAGGACTGAGCTGTGTCTGAACTAAGAAAGGCCTGGCTCACAGAGGGTGGAGAAGAGGCCGGGGCCTGTGGAGGACTGGGGTCGGGTACAGTCCCATTAATGGGGAGCACACTCACTGCAACACGGTCTGTAACCATCCCTGCCACAGGCAAGAGAAGAGTCAGAGATGTTTGCCTGCAAACGAGGAGCTGGCATGTGCAAAGAAACAAAGCACAAGGAGCCGTCTGCCTGGTGTCTGGCAGGCCAATGGCTGGGGAGGGCAGGTAGGATACTCACAGGTGCTCCAGGCTGTCCAGCCCCGAGAAGGCCCTCTTAGCCACGGACTTGATCTTGTTGCCAGACAGTGTCCTGCCGTTTCCAAACATCCATGGCCAGGAAAGCAGGTGGGGTGGAGATGACGGTGAGAGAGAGAGAGAGAACACAATTAGGGCCACACTATCTGGTAAGTGTGTCTGCCGAGATGTGGAAACTGGACCCGTGCTGAGGCATGCAGGCCTCCCCTTTCCAAATTACTTTTATCTTTGTAAGAATTTAGCTGTGATGACAGCTGGGATTCCCTGCACCAACTTGCCAAGAAAGGCCCTCTGCGAAGCTGTGGACACCACCTTATCCAGCCGGGCCTGTCTCCAAGAACCACCTGTTGCAGGGAGGGGCAAGGTGGGACATGGATACAATCTCGGGGCAGCAAAAGTGCTGGAGCTAAACCAGCCACGAAAAGCCATGCTGGAGGTGATGGCCCTAGCAGAGGACAGGGGGCAGGGAGTGCACGGGCTTCTGTGCAGATGTTGCAGCTGCCCTTGAAGACCTGGCCGGTGGTCAGGGTGCACAAAGTATGGGGTCTGTGACCTTGCCCACCACATGGGTCTCCTCAATGTCCAATGTGATGCCAGGATGCTCAAGACCTCAGATTTCATAAGACGTCAGTGATCTGGAAGGCCTTCAAATCCCAGATCATCCTCAAAGAACAACCTCTAAAGTCATCAAATGCCTGTGCACTGGATAACTGCACCCAATGCAATCCTGACCAGAGCAGCAAGGGTGTTTTCAAAAGCCAACGCTGCAAGACGCACAGAAGGATGAGAGCATGCATCCCCTGGGCTGAGTAATGGAAGGGCTGAGCGGATGTAAGGGAGACACTGGGAATAAAAAGCAGCAAAATTCTGGCTCCTGGCTCTGTCCCACACCAGTGACGGGGCCTGAGGTCCGCCCACCAGCACGGCCTGCCTCCTGCCACTCCCACCTGAAAGCAGAATCCACAGATGGACGCATGAGCTTCCAACCTCTAATGACTCCCTAGAAGGGCCTGTCAGAAACACAGCTTTTAGAAATTCTCAGAATCAACAGGTCCAGGACAGATGTTCAGGAGAACACCTGGGGAGAAAAACCAGGCAGCCCTCTGACAGGAGGGGAATCCAGGTGGGACAATCTGGGCTCAAGACCAGCAATACCTCTAGTCCTGGATTGAGATCCTGGCCCACAAAGGACAGCAAGGACTGGCCCACCCCCTTACGCAAAGATAGGAGAAAGCAAGCAAAACTGGATGAAAATTAAAGGCGGGCAGGGAGGCTGGAATAGCCCCAGGTTCTACAACGAGGAACATGTTCCTGGGGGACGTCCCTGAGGAGCAAAGCTGCCCCCTCACTAATATGAAGTTCCTGTGAAACCTGTTATAAGGCAAAATGGCACACAGTGAAGAAATGATTACGTGAGCATCCCTAGATCTGCCACAGGGCACACGGTTCAAATCCATGAGCTGCTCCATCGGATAAGGACAGGAGGTCTCCTTCTGTGTGATTTACTGCCTCTGAAAACCCCCTTGATCACTGGTTCCAACTGAACAGCACACAACAGACCCAAAATAAAACATTTCTCAGTCACAACAAACACCAAATAATACCCAAAAGAACATGCATGGTGTCCAGTGGCACATTCAGAGCCATGGCTCCTGATACTGTGTGTCCCCACATGGAGGATCCACTCCCACTGCCTCTTCACAGCTCACTGCAAAGCACATGCTAAAAACACTAGTTTTCCAGTTTACCTTTTTTTCTGTCAGTGTACAAACCCTCCTTGGATTTCTTTCAGGTAGTACAATCAGGCACAAATAGAAGACTTTTAAAAAAAGTAAAATGACTGAAAGCAAACCTTTGAAAACAGGAAGATACCTACACCAGGACCAGCCTGCACCAGGCTCACCCCAGAACAGACTTGCCCGCACAAGGATGCTCGCTCGCTCCTGGTGTCCAGGACCCTGAAGCCCATTAAGCTCACCTCTGGGGCCACCATGGGAGCCTCCCGACTCCCCATTTCATCAGAAACAGACCCCGTCCTGCCTCAGGCCCTGAGTCTCAGCAGCCCCAACTTCAGACAGAGCAGCTCTGCTATTTGCCTGCAGAGGCAAAGGGGCAAAAGAGACCAAAGACCCATCGCTGTTTCTTCCTGTCAGAGGCTGGTCTGCATGAATGTGAACATGATCTTACAACAAGAAATTTCCACACCTCTTTCAGTCTGAAGGTTTTGTTCGAGCAAATCACACAGAATGCTCAACAAGCGCTCCTTAGGTCACCAAGTACTCAGCTCCTGGGTGACCCCTCCGCGGGGTCCTGGCACCCACCCCACGCTGTACCATGAAATCCCCCAAAAGCCACATCCAGGACAAGGCTGTGCCATTTCATTCATCAGCGTGTGTCACATGGTCCTTTTACAATGAGGTCACTATGGGCACTGCCATGGCCATCTCACCTGTAACACAGTGACCAATCAGGCCAGCCCTCCCTGCAGCCTGTTCTCCACCTGAGCAGTGATGTCAGAGGCTCAGGACCAGGGTGGGATGTGAAGAAAGACTGGCCATGGAGCCAGGTGGTCCTGACCCTGCGACGAACTAGCCATGTGGTCATCACTCCAAGTCCTACCTGCATGAGAACACAATAGCCTCAAGGCCTCACCAGCCCATCTTGGGTACTTTAAGAAATTCAAGTAATACATGGCTATTGCCCTTATCCTTGGTGATCGCTACCTCCACTTAAGTATAGGAGTGATGACAGAAACACTCAAAGCCGTCAAGAGTCACTGGCATTCAGATATTTCAGAGTTTCCAGGAATGTAGTCAGAAGGCAATGCTCCTTTGGGTAAAAACCAAGAAAGCTTGGTCCTTTCACTGGTCAGTGACTTAACAGGAGAGAAAAGTCAAACCCGTCCCCACCCCACTCTCCTGGCCCCACAGACACCAAGGCCCAGGACACAGGGGGCCACTGGCCCAGGGAAGGGGGGACGCTCCCTCGTTTTCATAGAGACTTTTCTTCCCTACTCCTGCAGAGCCCACAACAAAAGCAGCATCAGCCTGGGGACCCCAGGAGTGGCAACCTCTGGGAGCCAGGGCCCTTCGCATGCAGATACTCACAGCTTGCTGAGGCTGTCGAGCCCCGTGAACGCACCACTGGTGTCCTCGATGGTGCCTGAGATCTCGTTATGGTCCAGGTCCCTGCGGAGAGGACAGAAAAGATCTCACCTTCCAGCCCGCATTTCCTTCAATGTGGGGGAGGGCAGACACAGAAGCTCCCACCCTGAAGGGGCAGACATCACAGAGGATTCCAGCTGCCCAGCCCTCTGGGACAGCTGAGGTGACCACCTCCCAACAGACGGTCCAGCTCTACCCACCTGGTGTGGGCCCCAGCACTACAGATACTAGCCTCACACGGATGGTCGCCCCCCCTCCATCAGGGAGCCACAGCCAAACCTCAAGGAAGGGAGACACAGGCAGCAGCACTTAGGGACCCCGCATGCACCCCATCCCCAGCATGCAAGCCAATTCCAGGGGAACTGTGCTGTACACACACAGCACCCAGGACCCAATGTGTACCCCACCGCGATCACACATCTGGTCCCGGCAGCCAAGCCCGGGGGAGAGGAGGCACAGATGCACCTAGGCCCTCGCATATATCACATCTCCAGTTTGCACCTGGTCCAGGCAGCCAAGCCCAGGAGAGAGGAGGTGCACACAGTACCCGGGACCCGAGGTGTACCCCACCCGCAGTGTGCACTTGGCCCCAGCAGCCAACCCCAGGAGAGAGGAAACGCACACAGCACCTGGAACCCCAGGTGTACCCCACCACCAGTGAACATCTGGCCCTGGCAGGCGAGCCCGGGAGAGGGGGAGATGCAATTAGCACTTCGAGAACCCAACACTGGCGTGCACATGGCCCTGTCAGCCAAGCCCAGGAAGATGAGGTGCAGAAGCACTTGGGATCACCCACATGTCCCACTCCCAGAATGCATCTGGCCCTGGTATGAGGCAGTAGCCAGAAGAGTTCCCTGCGGTCCTGTCTGTTCACATGCAAACCAGCATCCTTTTACCAGCCTAGACCGAGAATTAGTGGCAGGCACAAGAGGGGAGGGGACTAGACAAAGGCTTGGGGGGTCCACCCTGTGCTAGCACACGGGCCTGGACCCACTGGGCTCAGGAGGACATCCGGGTGCTGAGTCAGGCTCGTGGCTCACTTGCCGGGATCGTGGGGCCAAGGCCAGGCCCCAAGCCCAGACTCTTCCAGCCACACAAATCACAAGGCAGTGACTCAGCTTCCTCCCACTGCCCATAGGGTCACAGTTCCCCGGAGCCACACCTGGTGGCCAGGCCCAAGCCTCCACGTGGTCAGCATTCCCGACTTGACACAAGGTTCCTGACTCCCCCAAGCCCCTGCAGCTGGGGGTCCAGGAGGAGGGATCCCACTGTGGGAGTGAGATCCAGCTGAAAAGGACATGTCTGGCTGTGACCTCTCCTTCACAGCAGGAAGCTGAGGGAGCGGAGAAGCCACTGCTGGAAGGGACTTCTTTCAACGGCTCCCTCTGTATTCACGCTGCTGCCGGGGGCCTGGGGCTGCAGCTCTGTGAGCCTGTTCCTCGCTACTGGCTGCCAAGGTTTTCTAGGTGGCTAGCTCGGACCGTCCTCAGCGTTGCTAGGACTTGCTGGCCTCATGGGCGGCCCTCGGGGTGGACAGCCTGGCGTCCGGTGCATTCCTGCTCCCCTGCCAAGAGCCTGGTGCCCACTGCGGTCACTGCTGCTGTGCCTTCAAAAGCATGTGCCCACTGTTTGGGGCATTATGCCAACAGTTGCCTGAGAAGTTCTTGAAAACCAACAATTGACAAGCTTTGTAATGAATGTCCCAGAAAAGCATCTCACAGCAACTTCCTGCCACCCTACTTAATCGAGGACTTAGAAACAGCATTACAGCCCTGCTGTGTTAAGAGATTCCCAGGGAGGCCCCAGGAAAGGCTCACAGCTCCCAAACCACCCCCGTTGGCAACAAGGTGTCCAGGAACACAATGTGTATGCAGATATGCAGAAACCGGCCCTCAAGGCCAGGCCTCAGCCGCTCCTTGGCTCAGACAGAAAACATGCAGGACTTAAAGCTGGAAGTCACCGCCAAAAGAGTCAACACTAGAGAAACTCCTCAGCTACTCCAGACCTGCAGTGGGCAGCTCTTCCCAAATTCAGGACCCCAGCGTCCTGCCGCACTGTAGGAATTACACCTGATAAGGACAGTTCTGCCAAGCGCCGTCAGCCCTCTGAGGCACCAGCCCGGGGGGAGTGAGAGATACTGCCCTGTTCAACCAGGTCCTTTTCAGCTGGAAGCCGTAGTGCCTGAGTGGTAAGGAGCTGCGCTGCAAACCTAAAGGCATATGGCTCAAATCCGGCCTGCTGCTCTACAGGAGAAAGACAGACAATCTCCTTCTGCTCGATTTACAGCCTGCTAAAACTACCACATGGTCAGCCATGAGTCAGTTCCAACTTGATGGCTCACAGCAACAACATACAGCAATCTGGGGCCGGGCACACCTGGCAGATGAGCACTGTAGCCAGTTCTGAGACAGAGCCAACAATAATGGAATTCAACAGTCTGTTCTTCCTCCGTACTGGGGACCCCCCTCCGTGTCATCCCAGCAGAGAAAGACGTACAAGACACGCAGGTTCCTGAGCCCCCTGAAGGCGCCTTCCGCAATGTGGCTGATGGCGTTGTGGCTGAGCCGCAGGATGGTCAGGCTGCCCAGGTCAGCCAGGCTCTCCTCGTCCAGCCGGGTGAGGTTGTTGAAAGACAGAATCCTGGAGAAGAGGGCAGACAGGTGTCACCATCAGGCCTCAGAGTTGCCCTCCCTCCCCTCTCCTGAGCATCAGGCCACAGAGTCCAGGTCTCAGATACACAAAGAAACACACACAAACACACACAGCCCTCAACCATAAAAGCTGTCATGCTGCTACACGCACCTATCGACTGATTTCAGGGTGTAGGTACAGGGGACAAAAGGGGATCTGTTCAACTACAGGGACTACACAAAGTCACAGAATGCAAGACTCTCCAAGCTTCAACCCCTTCATGCTGGTGTCCATAATGGTCCTGATCTAGGCGGAGAAAGACCTCTCTCCCCTGTAGCCACATGCAGGCCATGGCCAGGCCCTCAACACCCTCAGTCCAGCGGGTTCTGAGGAAGCACCATCTCTGGTCACACTTCCCACATCAGCCAGCAGAGGGCACCACGACCCACTGCCTAGACCAGCTCCCAGCTGGCGTCAGGACCTCACACCTCAGCTGGGCAAGGCCAGGGGCCAGGGAGGACACTGCCCAGATCCATGGCAGGCATGACCCACCTACCACATTGGGGTGGCAAATGCGCCCCTATACCATCAACATCACAATCAAGCCCTGCTTAATCACAGCATGACTCTGGTAAACGGACACAGACCTGGGCAGGAGATACGGCATACCAATCATCTGTCTTTGAAAAATGAGAGAAATGGGCTGGGGAAGGAAGAAGGAAAATAAACTCACAGATTATGAATGAGGTTTTTTAGAGACTGCAGGGAGCTACATAGTTTCCCTTCTGGAGAAATAAGACATAATGACTGTCAATCACCAAAGATCTGGCTGGAGATCAAAACTGCATCCTTACCTACAATGAAAAGACTTTAGAAAAGACGCGGGCCCAGCACAGTGGGGAGCAAGGCCAAGCTTGGGCTGGAGGCTCCCAAAAGATCTAACCGCTAAGTGTACAAGGCCTTTCCTGCCATTTACAGAGGGGCACAGCAGACAGCATGCCACTGTCCACCACCCAGAGGGACACAGAACTCAGAGCATTGCAGGGGAGGGGTGGCCTTTACCATGGCCTCCACACCAGGGCCCACAGCCTTACAAGATCCCAGGGTGGCCGGCATTTCACCTCCATAATCAGGACAAGTTTGGGGGACTTAAAGGCCTCTCCAACTGCTACTACTTCCAGCCCTTTCCCTGAGAAAACCTTACATCCAAGGAGTTCCCAAGTAGGAGAACACTGTCACAGCGCATAGGTCAAGTCTGTCAGAAAAGCCATCCAGTATCACCAAGTGACAATACCTGAGATTGCCACACGACTGAGGGAGTTCTGGTGGCCCCATGGTAAAGGACCTGTGCTGCAGACCCAAAGGAGTGCGGTTTGAAACCACCAGCTGCCCCAAAGGAGAAAGATGGGGAATCTCCTCCCCTGCAGTTTAATACCTTCAAAAACCTGCTGGAGGGGTCAGCTATGTGCCAGTTCTGACTCAATGGCACTTAACAACAATAACCACCACTCAACTATACTTCCTCAAAGTGCTAGGAAGCTAAATCCAAAAGCTTAATAACACCACATGGGCCTGTGCGTGTGCAACAACAATACAAGGCAAGAGGACGCAGGCTTGGCGCCTGCACCTGAGGTATGTGTGAGGATACAACCAGCCAGAACCAGCATCAAGGTAACAAGGCACAGAACGTGGCTATTAAGTTCTCACCTCAATGAGTAAATATGACCTAGAGAAAGGAAGAAGGAAACACAGGAAATCCACCTAATCTTCACACCCTTCTGATAGGAGCTCGCAGCTAGGACTGCTGAAATGCAAGGCGAGGAAGGAATGAGCCAGGGTCCCGTCAGTTATCAGAAGAAGGCAGGTGAGAGCTGTGCCCCACTACCAGCATCACACCATCTCTGATCCACTCTGGTCCATCCTTCCTTTCTGTGCCTGAGCCAAAGAACTTTCACTGAAGAAAAGAGGTGCTCTTTGGTGTCACCATTATCACAGGCACACCCCAAACAGCCACAATAAAAACAACTCCTGCAGCTGCAGTCTACAACATAGCCTTCCGCATCTCAGGAAGGTTCTCGGAACCCCCGAGAGGCCAGAAGGCAAAGACTCACAGGGAATCAGACCACACTGGACTCCCTGGTTGGCCTGCAGCCTTGTCCTCCCCACAGGTCAAGACAGGAGTCCTGGGCAGGAGCTGCCTCTGAGCTCCCTCCCTCTCCAGTCTTCCCTGGCACACGTGTTGGCAAGTGTGAAGGGTCCCGGAGAACCTGGTATCTCTACCACGGCACAGACCACCAGGTATGAACTCACAGTTCATGCAGCTTCTGGCAGAAGCTCCAGCCGTCACGGGTGATGCGGGAGATGGAGTTGTTGCTGAGATGGAGCTGGTGCAGGGCTGTGAGGCCGTAGAGCGAGCCACTATTCACTTCTGTCAGGCTGTTGTACTCCAGGTGCCTGCAAAGGTGGCCTGGTCAGGACTGAGGCCACAGGGGGAGCTTGCCCCCGTGTGTGCACGCCCGTGGACGTGTGCGTGCATGTCTAATAACAAGGACAGTGGCTACTACTGAACCTATGGTAAGAGTTTCCAGTCCTGTTACAATGAGACTAAAGGACACTGCACAAAGGAGAAGGGGTGTCGTGAAGAACTTAAATCACTGGCTATGGTGTAAGAAACTTCCAGGTGCTGAGTCAAGACAGTGGCATAAATTTACTTAGAGACTTGCAAGTAACGAGCAGTATGATGGGCAACTTCCTCCCGTGTGATTTGCTGCCTCTAAAAACACTGGAGGGTTGGCTACAGGTCAGTTCGGCTCCACAGACGTCAAACAACCACCAACAGCATAAATTAATAGAACTTAGAAAAGAAATGGCGCAAAGTGACTGCCTCCTTGAGGGAGCAGAACTGGGACAGGGCGGTACCAGGGAGGGGGTGGGCAATGGCTTTTCTTTACAGCCTGATTTCATTTAACTTTTTGTTTTTACAAAAGGGCAAATTTCCATGGATCAAAATAAGATCATCAGCCGTCTCATGTGCACTTCACGTTATTGATGTTCCTCTGGCAAGGACTCGAGTTCCCTCGCTGTGCACATCTGGCTGAAGAGAAGGGAATGCTCCCTTGATACGATCTGAACATCCGCACGGAGCGCCTTGATTAGCTCACAAGACGTAAATAAATCTCTCAGGGTGAACTATACATTGTCGGCCCACCTGCACATCAAGAGACAGTCAGGCCCAAGAGATGGAAAAGAAGAACTTCCTGTGGTGTGTGGGAGGAGGAGAGGACATGGGAAGGAAGCAGCAGTGTGATCCCATGTCCACTACGGAAGTGGGGGTGGGGAGCAAAATGGGGTGCGAGAAAGCCCAACAAATGGCCCCGTGTCCATCCCCACCAACGGACTCACCTGGCCTAACCCACTGGTAACTCCCACAACAGAGCACTTGGCCTGCCAGATGGGGCCCAGCCCCACAGACAGAGCGGCTGGGTCCCCTGAAGTCTCACGCCACCCCACAGCACGGACATCTGGTCTGGGATCCTCACATCTGCCCAGTGCTCAGGGGAGTGGGCACATGCAGGACACACAGACCCTACAGTAGGGGTCCTCAGCTGCCCCGTGAAGCCAGCTCCTGCCAGCTCTGCCCACACTTACAGCACATGCATCCTGGACAGCCCCCAGAAGGCCCCATCGGTCAGCTTGCTGATGTTGTTACGCTGCAGCTTCAGGACCTCCAGGCTGTCGAGTCCCTGGAACGTCAGGCCTTCGATGAGCCGGATCCGATTACGATTGAGGTCCCTGGAGAGGTGGAGCCAACAAGTTTGGGGCTCAATCGATGTTCCTGCCTACAATCATGCTCACACAGTCCTGGCTGGGCTTCCCAAACCAGCATGGGCCATGCCATCAGGGAGGGTCCCATGGCCTGAGTGTGCCACACTCCCCCTTCAGCTGCTGACACCAAACAGCACCACTGCTACAGAGTCAGAGGAGGCTGGAGCTGACACAGAAGGCACCCGTCCCCCGACTAAGTCTGCACTCGCATCCCTGTCTGACCTTGTCTGCGGCAGTGCGATGGGGGGCGGGGGTAGGACAGGACAGGATAGGATAGGATAGGACGTCTGCATCCTTAAGTGGGGGGGCTCAACAACCAAAGTCTAAATACAGGGAAGGCCTGGCCATCGGGCCCCAAATGACAATCACTGTCTTCCCTTGTACTTAAAAGGTTCTCCACGTATGGAGGAGCTCTGGTGGCGACGGTTAAGATGACTGTCACAACCTGCAGCCTTGGGAGCCCTGTGAGCAGGTCTACACTGTTCCACAGGATCGCTGTGAGTCAGAACCCACACGAAGCATCTCTCTCTCTCTCTCTCTCTCTCAAGCATATCTGACTTCTGGCCACTGCATGATAAAACCTCAGTCAGTCAGGAGTCTGGGTGAGCTGGATCCATTAGTGGGGAGGAGGAAGAGGGAGGAGAGGGCCCAAGGTTGACCAGAAAGCCCTCGGTTTTCCCCACATTTTTCTGCAGTGTCTCAGGAGCTTGCCCCACACCAACAACTGACATTAATGAGACATACCCGCTCCAAGGAGAACAGGGCATGAGCACTCAGCTAAAACACAGACACAGGAAACAGAGTTTAAAGAACCTATAGAGTTCTTCCTGAACCTGAACCCTGTGGCTTTCTAGGATGACACTCAACTGAGGTCACCAAAAATGTAACAAAAGTTCTGAAATGAGCTCAAACTACCTTGTTGGACTTTGAAGATGAAGACTACAGCCCACCTCCTGCTCACAACATCTGGCTACAACTACTTCCTCTTGAAATACCTGAGAAATGTCATCATAGGGTCCAAGGTAGAGATAGTACAGGACCCTTTAAAGGTCCCCAAGCCTCTCAGGTCAACAAGGCCTTGAACTGACAGCCCCAGCACTCTCCATCTCAGCAAGCCAGCAGGCCTCCCCACCAGGAAGCTACCACAGATGACCAGCACTCACACACTGACCAACACTCACACACTCAGCTGGTGTTCTCCCAATCTGTGGCAGCCCACAGCCAACAGACCCTATTTCCAATATGCTTTTATTAGGTGTTGCCATTAATGACCGTTTATGCAGAGCTTTAAGGGGGTTGGGATGGAGAAAGGGTGGCATTTGGCTGAAATCCTTGAGGAAATTTGGGCTCCATAAAGCCGGGCCCACCCTAATTGAAGTGCAGGTTTCTGTACTCACAGTTGTGTCAAGCGGGGTAACTTGAACGCTTTCACAGGAAGCTGGGTGAGCCTGTTTTTGCTCAGCCTGAGCGTGAGCAGCGACCGTGACAGCCCATCAAACGCTCCCGACTCCAGGGTGCTGATCCTGTTGCTTGCCAGGTTGCTGAAGGATTCAGAGGAGAAAATGCAGCGGTCAGTGGACGCCTTTCTCCTTCCGTCCAGACACCAGATCCAGCTGAGCTGGCAGAATGAGGCACACTGGAAGGACAGGCTTCCAGGGAGACTCGGCCCATCACCAGATGCAGGCACCTCTTGATTTCAGATGGGCCGTGGGGAAATGCAGGTGTCAGGAGTGTCGGTGCTGGCTCTGAGGTGGGACTTGATACATACTGAGGCAGCTGTACCCCCACCCCAACACCGTCACACACCAGCACAGCCACCAGCCTCAACACAGTCACACACCAGCACGGCCACCA